GCTTAGAACAGACCCTCTCTATTGGCCAACAACTCTTTGTAACAGTCCCAGGGAGGGTTTTGATGCTATACTCTCAGCACACCCCAGACCCACAGAGGTTGGCTAACAACTCGACACACCAAAGACCCTGGGGCTGTGTTCATTTAACCAGTGATGTGTGTATACTACCCAGGCCCTATTCTCTCAGAGAGATCAGCGGTGTCCCTGCCCATCACAGGAAGGGTAAAAAGGATGAGACGGGCAAATTCATGTGATGAATAATACATTCTTAAGGCAGTGGTTCTCAACCTTCCTAATGCCGCGACCCTTTAATACAGTTCCTCATGTTGTGGTGACCCCCAACCATAAAATTATTTTCGTTGCTACTTCATAACTGTAATTTTGCTACTGTTATGACTCGTCATGTAAATATCTGATATGCAGGATGTATTTTCATTGTTACAAATTGAACATAATTAAAGCATAGTGATTAATCACAAAAACAATATGTAATTATATATGTGTTTTCCGATGGTCTTAGGCGACCCCTATGAAAGGGTCGTTCGACCCCCAGGTTGAGAACCGTTGCTCTAAGGGGAGGGGTTTAAAATGTACTTTGCTTCACATTATCCAGCAGAAGTCAGTATCATTGCAAGTACTACCCTAGCTCCTGTTCCTCAGGAATGCCATTCACTTTAGGTACCCAGAGGTAACACTTTAAGGGGCACAGGGCAGGACTGTCAAATGGAAGAGGTGGTCTGGAGCTGGTAGGAAGGAACCATGAAGGATATGGGACTGCCCAAGATGGCCTCATCCTGGGTAATCATTGCCCACAGTTGGCGGGACAGCTGACTCCCACCGGTAGCAGCATAGAAGAGCTCAGGCATGCGAAGGGAGGTCCTGATACCTGTCAGATGCCCTGTGAGATCAGAAACATCTCAGCCCACGTTCAGGAGGGAGAAACCTGGACAGGAAATAGGACCTTGGGCTTAGTCCAGGTAGCCATCGCCTAGCACAGAAGTCAAGAGGAGCTGTTAACCCTGACTCCCAAGGCCTCTCAGTTTGAGAAGGCAGTGGCATAAGGAGGCAGGCAGCTGTTTCAGCCCTGTCGCTAATTTCGCTGTCTAATCTTGGCCAAAGCACATAAACACTCCCTGGGTGGAGAGCAAATGAGAAGGTGGAGGGAAAGTGCTTTGGCAAAGCTCCAAACACCAGCCAAATGCAAGGCGGTGTGGTGTCATGGTTAAGGCAGTGAGTGGGCTTTGGAGAGACGTGGGTCTGAGTGCAAATCCTGCCTCTGCTACTTCCTTGTTGTGTGACTTTGATCAAGTTACTTTATCTCCCTGCGCTTCAGTTTCCTTCTGTGTAAAAACGGAGAAGATAACTGTTACCTGACTTGACGTGGTAAGTAGTAACTTAAAAAGGGGTGGTATTGTCCTAAACTAACTCTGGTTGTCAGACATATTCCGACATCTCCAGCCCTAGAAGTGAAGCTGGGGACCAGAGTAGGTGTCTGCACACCGGAGGGCCCAGTGAATGGCTGTGCCGAAGACGTGGGTGAACTTAGCTCTTCATACGGCCCTCTGCTCCTCTCTGGGAAAGCCCAGAATGTCCGTTCTCATTTGATGGGAATGAGAGTGAGGGTTTGAATAAAGGAGAGGTCAAGTACAGGGCAGTGACTGTCTCTGTGTGGAGCTCAATGCTGTAATTGTGCCATGTAAACGGCTTGCACAGTGAACAAGGATGGGTTCAGTCTGGGGAGGAAAAGGACTGTTAGAAGACTCCTTTGTGGCACCTACAGGCCCTGTGGGGTCAGATTATTCTCCTGTACTCTGTGCAGTCTGGTCCTGAGCCCTACATAGAGATTGGAAGAAGGAAGAAACCCAAGCCTCACTCTCAGCTCTACATCTGACTATAACAGAGAACAAAAGGCGGGCAGATGAGAGCAGTGGAAGAGCATAACCAAAAACCTCGGGGCAGAGGGCTACCACAGGGGCTGGAAGGCTAGGTGGATTGCATGCCAAAGGCAGAAGATTGGGATCAGGATTTAAGGACTGGGAAGGAGAAAGAAAATAGGATCTAAGTGGCCTAGTGTCTAGGCCTGTTGGTTGTCCCCATAAATCTTGTGGGGAAGTCCCACATGGAGAAACGTGGGTAGTGAAACTTGGAAACAAATACACCTTGATACGGGGGGCAGTGAGATGCACCTTAGCCTAAGAAGCCTCTTGGAGGAGGGCAGTTTCAAGTAGGAATTTGAAAAAGAAAAGCGGCTTCCTTAGCAAAAACATAAGGGGGAGTCTCTGAGGAGGAAAAGATAACCAGTGAGGGTGAGTAGCAAACAGGAAGCAAGTTGCCCAGGCCATGTAGAAACATGCAATCAGATGGGGCCAAAGAAATATACGTATGGCTGTTCCGATTGTGAAAGGGAGGGAGGCCTGAGGCGAAGGCGGAGGGCAGGCAGCTTCTGCTTATCCTACAGATGCTGGGTGATAAGGGCCATTCTCAGATGAGTTTTGAGTAGAGAGGAAGAGGAGAATCCAGGAGGCAGGGAATGAATCAGCAGAATTCGGCAGTGGGCGCGGGGTAAACCTGAAATTGGGAAGGGATTCAAACTACACACCTGGGAGTGGGGCAGGAGCAGAGGCTGTTCGTAGGATTTCGATGCTACTGGCGGCAGTGGGGAAACTGGGAACGCTGGCTAGGTTAGGGGGTAGGGCACAGACCCCGAGTTCAGCGTGTGGCGTGTTGAGTATCTGGTGGACCTGAGGAAAAGGCCTACAGCCAGGAGCAGACTGTGGGGTGAGGAGAGGAGGAAAAACTTCAGTTCTGTCCTATCCTATCACCCCCACCCCAATCTGGAGGCCAGTCTAAGCTTTCAGAAATACCTCTCTTAACACTCCCTCTCTCCACTGCCCCAGCTGACAGATGTTAAAATTCAATTCAAGTTCCTTTTTATTTTTTTGCCTTCTCTCAAACCCAGCCTGTTACCAGAGTTTAGAAAATCCCCCCTCACACCCACCTGAAGGTTCCTCTTTTCATCCCTGGATTCCTAGGAGCCAACAGTCTCAGCGCTCAGTTTGAGTACAGTTGCACATCCCTGCCCCACCTGTCAGGGCCTGGAAGCAACTCCAGTGAGGTGTTGTGAGCTAGCTCTTGAACTTCCTCTTGGATTACATATTCGTTTGATTTTCAAGGGCTTTTACAAATTTGTAATAAAAATCAACAAATATTTGCTGAGTGTCAAGCACTGTTCTAGGTATATAGTGTGAGCAAAGTTGGGTAGGTTATTTCAATTGAAAAATCTGTGTTTGGATTATAAGCTTAAAATGTTATGCAAACATAAAATGAACCTAGATATGGTGGGGGAAGAACTTGATAGACGAGCTACAGAAATAACTTCCAGTGTGTCTCTCTGGGAAAATAAGCCACAGCAGCTGAAGTGTCTTAAAGGTGTAATTATGGAGAAAAGTGAAAACCTCCCCGCATTCTGTAATCAGAAGGGTCAGCGCTGGGAGGAGGGGCTTGAAGGGGATCATTTGCTACTTTGTGCACAGCCTGAGAACAGAGGAAGTGAAATGAGTGCTGTGTTTGATGGCAAGGAAGAAAGGGATGATCATGTAACCAAAGCAGCCTCTGGGCCCCCTCCCCCGCCCCCCACCAGTAGCTTGAAATTGACCTGTCCCCTCTCCCAACATGATGTCCAGCTCCACACACCTGTGCCCTGGGTGAGAGTGGCGGCAGTCATCTCTTTTCGAAGAAACCCTGTAATCGGGCCTTAGTCTGACTAACTTGAACAAACATCCCTGTGGTGGTGTCTTACTTCCTGGCTGCCACGTCTCCCGGAGGTGAGCAGCTCAGCTGATAAACAGAAAGAAACTTTGTTACAAAGAGGCCACCTGGCCAGCAAGGGTGTGTTCCGCCTTGTTTACCCTGGCTTTCATAAAAGCTGAAAGTTTGCTTGGGACTTCCAGTTTTGGCATCTTTGTAGCCTGGAGTGGGAGGTGGGGGTCGGGGTGGGGGAGGTGGTGGTTCTAAGAGAGTGAAGTTGGGATGCTCATGACAACAGCCCTGCCCCAGGCTCAGGAGAGCCAAACCCAGCCCCCAAACTTGCCAGGGGACCTCCAAGGGGTAAGATGTGGGAACAGAGCCGTGGCCTGGGAGTTAGGAGATTGCCATGTGCTTCTGGGAGCCACAAGCCGTGTGACAGTAGAGAATCCTCACCTGTGAAATGAGGGTGCTAGACTCACAGACAGACCTAGTCAATGTGGCACACTAAGGCTTAACAACAGAATATCATGTAACTCCATGCTTGTTAGAATAAGTGCATTCAAAACATCACTTGGTGAAGACAGTGCTTACCCGTGTAGCTTTAACCTGTCTGTCCTCATCTCATTTAACAAGAGTTTATGGACTGTTTCCTACATACTAAACTTGTGTGGGATTTTGCAAGTGATAAAGAGGTGAAAACAACCTGGCATCTCATCCAGGAGTTCACAGAGGTGTGAGAGAGAACAGGCTCCTCCCACACAGGGAAGGCTGTGATGGGGCCAGGGTAGACGTATAAAGTCTGCTGAGGGGCAAGATGGGAGAGATCTAAAAAGGCCTCCTGGGGGAGCCTAGGGTGTAATTGGATGGTGTCAGTGGCTTTCAGATTTTTATGACTGGACCAACATAAGAAAAACATTTTACAACAAAACTTCATACCCACTTAACATGTGATAGGGTATCTCAAAAGTCTTAGGGGCAATTTTACACTTAAATCACATCAGAGGTATGAACTCTACAAACTAACCAAAAAACCACAACTTGAAAATGTAATAGTTTCCATTTATTTACCTTTATGAATTTTTAATACTAAATTTTCAATTTAAGTTTGTATTGGGAAGTGTCTATCATCAATGGATTGAGACAAACATCAAAATAAAAACTTATTCAAAATTCATAAAACTCAAAAAGATAAAATAAATTTAAATAAAAACTTTCAAATGATGTTCTTTGGAAGTCTGTAGCATTTCTGTTTCTGAAGTTATTAAAGCTTAAAACTGCACTAAGACTTTTGAAACACTCTATACATATCTATATGCTAGTATATAAAAGCCTAAGCAACCATTCGACCTTTCGACTGGTAGCTATGACGAACAATGACCACCAGGTGGCAGACGCTCAATGCACAGGCATGGAAACGTGGAACAGACTGATGAATCTCAGAGGGAAGGGGGGAAGGGGGAGAGCAGGAAGAGATTAACCAAAGATCTTATATGCATACTAAAGGCCCTCAGCCTGGCCTGCGGGATTGGGCCAAAACTGGCAGTCCAACATCCCCCGAGGGGTCCCGGATTGCGAGAGGGCGCAGGCCAGGCCGAGGGACCCCACTGGTGCACAAATCCATGCACCGGGCCTCTAGTGTATAATAACTGCAATGAAATTTTAATAAAGCAATGCCTATATTACATGTGACATACTTTGGTACTTTTTTGTTCTATTCCATTCTAATCTTTTTTAAAGAATTTTTTTTATGCTGATTTGCAACAGTTTTATTTCACAATCCTATAGTGGGTTGTAGTCAGCAGTGTGATAGACACTGAGCTGGGTGAAGGCTCAGTTCCCTTAGACCAGTGAGAGAAGGCGAATTTGTGTTCTGGCATCATCTCAGTACTGAAACCAAGATGGTCCCACGTGTTGAGATCCCAAGAGTGGCTGGAGGAAAAAGGATTGGGAATGAACGCTCAGCAGCAGCAGAAGGGGAATGAATGGATGAGGGCTGTAGGCACACTTGACAATGCACCTGGTTTGGTGGCCATACTGTGGGAACCCAAAGGTGAGGGAGCTACACAAGACACTGGGGGAGGATCCTGTGAGGCTCTGCACTTGACAAAGTACAGTACTGCATGCAGGAGGGAGCTATTCTTTTCCAAAGCTGGTAAAATGGTGACCTGACCTTGCTAACCGCACTTCGGGAGTCATCTACGCAGTGAGCAGGAATCCTTAATCCCAGTCTTCTGCCTTCCATCAGATGACTAGTGTGTGTCTCTTCCAAGTGATTCTTTCCTGTTGCCTGCATGCTGAGCAAACAAACTAGAGGTTGAGTCCCTTACTGCCAGGGTTAATCACAGGTGTCTTCTTTCACTTCAGGATGTGGGTAGTACCTGGAGGAATTGCAGGTTCCAGAGAGAAAGGCGTAAACTGCCGGGTTGGATTGAGAGAAGAGATGCCTGGGAAGGGCTCAATTTAACCCTAGGTCTCTTTCTTCAGGGGAAATAAAAGTAATAAAGGCCAACCCCACTTCAAGGGACCACAACGCAATGCCAGGAAGAGGGAGCTGAAGTGACCTGCCTGATTCTGAGGGAGTCGGTCAGGGAGGTCTTCCTGGAGGAGGTGAGTCTTGAGCACTTGGCAGCAGCTGGTAACTAATCTATTACCACACCTTTGTTTCTAATTGTGCCCCCTCTTTTCTTGCTGTTGTGGGTAGGTAGACAGAAAATATCAGGGAAGTTCGACCTGTAGCATAGTTTAACACTGTCATGGCAAACACTTCTGCATTCTGTGGGACTCTGTGCTTAGCAGGGGCAGTTCCAGGATTTATGAGGTGTCTAGCTCAAGCAGAACTCCTTATGCTGGCCCAGCAGTCATAGCTCAACCCCAGCTGAGTGCAGGAAGCTGCCTCTACACCGAATCCCCATTGCCTCCTTGACGCCTTCTTCAAGCCCACAGACAACTCTACCTTTTCAACTTGGCACTTACTGCCTGGACTATTGTTTTCATTTTATTAATTTTTGAATAGGTAATATAGTCAGGTTCAAAGTACAAACAGGTATTCAGTGAAAGATCTTTTCTCTGCTCCTGTCCCCTCCCTAGACAGGTGTTAACTGCACCCAACGGTACCAGTTCTTATTCTCCAATTAGATTCCAAAATCTCATGGGGAAAGCAGTTGTCTCATACCTCTGTGCCCCAGCTGGAGTGAACTGGCCCATTGGTCACTCAGGGATTTTCTAGCACCACATTCTCCCTCCTCCATCAGCGCCGATACTATCTTGGATCAGATCCCCAACCCCTTTTAATTGGCCATCCAGCTGCCAATCAGGTCCGTCTCCTAGACACCCTCCACCAGCTATCATATTGTTCTTCCTATAGTACTGGGCTCCCCACCAATCCTGTATTGCTCCTCATGTCTCAGGTCAACAGCAAACTCCTTGGCATGATGACTTGGTGGCCCCTGCCTCTCCAGGCCCATCCTCTACTACTTGGATCAGATTTCATACTCCCACTATCCCAATTTAATTGCTGTTCTCTGATTGGCTATGCTGTCTCCTGCCTCTAGGCCTCTGTGTGCTCACCTTATCTGGCCAACTCCTACGGGTGGGTTAGTGCTCAGCCCAAGCTCCTCCCCCTCGGAACCGCTTCACAAATGTCACCTTCTCCCACTTGCTGAGTTTCCTGTATCCTCTCTTCCTCAGGACCCAAGGGTCCTCTCTTTTTTTAAAAAAATATATTTTATTGATTTTTTACAGAGAGGAAGGGAGAGGGATAGAGAGTTAGAAACATCGATGAGAGAGAAGCATCGACCAGCTGCCTCCTGCACACCCCCTACTGGGGATGTGCCCGCAACCAAGGTACATGCCCTTGACCGGAATCGAACCTGGGACCCCAGGCCTACGCTCTATCCAGTGAGCCAAACCGGCTAGGGCCCAAGGGTCCTCTCTTATGCCATCTTCTCACTGGATGATCTCTGTTTAAAATCTGACTCCCCCAGTTAACTGTACGTTCCTTGAAGGTTGGGCTTGCTCATCTCTGTATCTCCCACATCTGGCATATAGCAGATACTCCATCAATACTGGCAGAATGAACCAATCTCCTCTCCCATTTCGTAGACATCTAACACAAAATAGACAAAGAGACTTCATTTTACTTGATTTTTGATGCTGCTGCTGAGTCTGATGTTATAAAAGAAAACCACCTGTCTCCCCCAGCCCAGAGTGACCCATGCTCCCCCTGAGATCATATTCCCCGGATCCAAGTGACTCCAGATGCCAGGCTTCTCCACAGACAGGAACTTGAGTGTTTAAGTAACAGCATTAAGTAGCATGGCATGCCATAGGGTAATGAGTGTGGCGTTGGCCGAGGACCAGGTGCTTGAGGAAAATTGCTGGAAAGCTGAGCAAGGATTTATTAATTATAATAGTGGAAATAATTGATAACCATTTATTGAGGGCTGATTATTTGCCAGGTACTCTGCCGAGGATTTTACATACATTATCTCTGATTTAATCCTCACATCCCTGTGAGTTGGGTATTAGTTACCCCTCACTTTATAGATGAGGAGATTGAGGCTTAGAGAGATTAAGTAATTTGCCCAAGGGTCACACAGCCACTAATGACAAAAACTAATACTTTTTCAGAATTTACTGTGTGCAGCGACTACTAAGCATTTTCCATGATTATTTATTGAACTTATTAATCCTTCTAACAACCCTAGGAGGTAGGTGCTATTATTACTAGAAGGGGCAGAACTGGGCTTTGCGCACAGGTCTGTGCCATGGACATCTGGTGCTTTACAAGGGACCCTGGTGTTTTCAGAGCTTTCCACAGAAGGTGTTGCAAACATTCATCCTCTGAGCCGTGGGATCATGTCTGTGCCCCGGGGTGTAAGCTGATGAACACTGAAGTTCAGTCCTGCCTGGAATCTTAGATATTTTTTATTAAACATGAGTGGATACAGAGGAATATTTATAAAATATGTTTAGGCAGTGATGGCGAACCTTTTGAGCTCGGCGTGTCAACATTTTGAAAAACCCTAACTTAACTCTGGTGCCGTGTCACATATAGAAATTTTTTGATGTTTGCAACCATAGTAAAACAAAGACTTATATTTTTGATATTTATTTTATATATTTAAATGCCATTTAACAAAGAAAAATCAACCAAAAAAATGAGTTCGCGTGTCACCTCTGACACGCGTGTCAGGTTCGCCATCACTGGTATAAGGAATAACAGTACCAGTAATGCCCACCATCCACTTTAAGAAAAAACACTTTACTTTGAAGTCCCCATGTGCCTCTCTTCTCATATCTTTCCTCCTTCTTCAGAAACTTGTTTCATCGTTCCTTTAGTTTTCTTTATAGCTTTACCACATATTCATTTTGTATTCATGAACAATATTATGTACTCATTTTTGTTTTCATAAACAATACATTGTTTAGTTTTACATGCTTTACAATTTTCTATAAATGGAATCATATTATACTTATTCTTCTGAAACTTGTTTTCAATCAATATTATATCTGTGATGTTGCATGTAGAAATAGTTCATTCTTTGTCACTGCTGTAGAGTACTCCGTAATATGGATATATTTCATACTCTATTCACATTCTACTGCTGATGGACAATTGGGTGGTTGCTATTTTTGCCATTTTATTTAGTGCTACTAGAAACATTCTGGTACATGCCTCCTGGCTCATGTGCACTGGAGTTTGAATGGAATATAAAACTAGGAGTGGAACTGCAGCATCATAGGGTGTGTACGTTTTAAATTTTACTTTATAATGCCAGATTGTCTCCCAAAGTGGTTATTTCTGTTAAATCTCTGCATTTAGAGTTTTAGTGTTCTGATTATTCTAGATCCACTAATGTCAGATTCTTAGGGCAGGAAAAAAAAATGCTGATTCTGGTTCTCCTCATTTTATGGGTGGAGGAAATTTAGAAGCAAGTTAAGTGATTGGATAAGGTGATGTCACTATTCAGCAACAGAGCTTGGTTTGGAGCCCCAACCCCCTGACTCCCTCTCTACCCCTGCCTTGTCTTATTTCTTTCCCTTCCCAGGCTGAGGCCCCAAGGTGTGGCCACCCGGACATATCAAGCTATTTCCAGGATCGGCCCAGCACTGGAGCTGACTCAGCCGGGGTCCCCTTTGGTTCCAGAGGATGAGGCTCCTCCGCAGACGTCACATGCCCTTGCGCCTGGCCATCGTGGGCAGCGCCTTTGTGCTCTTCCTCTTCATCCTGCAGAGGGATGTCAGCAGCAGGGAACAGGCCACAGAGAAGCCATGGCTGAAGTCCCTGGTCAGCCAGAAGGATCATGTCCTGGACCTCATGGTGGGGGCCATGAACAACCTGAAGGACTCGATGCCCAAGCTCCAGATCAGGGCTCCAGAGCCCCAGGAGACACTGGTCTCCACGAACAAGTTCTGCCTCCCTGGGTTCTATACCCCAGCTGAGCTGAAGCCCTTCTGGGAACGGCCACCACAGGACCCCAACGGCCCTGGGGCAGATGGGAAAGCTTTTCAGAAGGACAATTGGACTCCCCTGGAGACCCAGGAAAAGGAAGAGGGCTATAAGAAGCACTGCTTCAATGCCTTTGCCAGTGACCGGATCTCCCTGCAGAGGGCCCTGGGGCCAGACACTCGACCCCCTGAGTAAGTAGCCCAGAGTCATTGGGTGAGGCCAGGGCTCTGCCAAAGGTGTGGCTGGTATGGCCGGGGCCTTGGGCCAAGTGCCCGGTAAAGAGCTGATGGGGATTTTAGAATATGAACAGGGATTTCCTCTACACCCTCACCCCTTTCCTGACCAGTTGCCCTTATCCCAGGGGTTGGGGTTCAAGAGTATTCTGGTCAGGCCAGAGGCCTAGGGAGTCCTATGAGAGTAAAACACAATTATGAAGGTGACAGTGTACAGAAAAAAGAACTCAAGGTCTGGGACCAGGACCTGGCCTAGGGGTGACTGAGAGGGACTGATTCCAGGCCACTGATTTGGTGGCCTTGCCCTCTGCCACCCTGGGTTCTATACCCGAGCTGAGCTAAAGCCCTCCTGGGAACAGCCTGCCCCAGAAACGATGGGACACTGCTGCTGAGCTGCAGGAGAGGGACGTTTCCCGGCAGCGGCCCTAGTGTCAGGACTATCCCAACCTGCTGACTTCCTTCTTCCAGTGAAGGCACACGGGACCATGAATCCATTCCAACCTTTATTTGAAGCCGTTTATAATTTTAATCCTGGGCAATGAACCGGCACTTAGATCTTTGAGCCTTAAGCCACCTCACTCTTATGTGATCGTGGCTGTAATTTACACTGTCCTCAAGTCAAAGATTTTGTGTCTTTCTCATTTAGACTTGTCTTTCCCGACTCAAGAGTTATACCGTTTTTTGGCCTTTTGTCACGTGGCAGCCCCCATCCCCACATTCATGATTCTCTAGGGCTGTGAACCTGGGGTTCCTCAGAATTGACCAAGTACTATAGTCCTAGAAGTTGGAGCCACTTGGAATTGTCATGAGCTTCTCAGCAGGGAAAGGTATTGGGCCGTAAGGGAAGCCAGAGAGGAAGTTTGAAATCTTTCTGACCAGCAGAGGGGATAAGAAAGGGTGTTAGCCCCGGCAGGTGTCTCTCAGTGGTTAGATTGTTGGCCCATGGACTGAAGGGTTGAGTGTTCAATTCCTGGTCAAGGGCATGTACCTAGGTTGCGGGTTCTATCCCCAGCCCTGGGTGGGGCAGGAGCGGGAGGCAGCCAATTGATTGTCTCTCTCACATGGATGTCTCCCCCTGCCCCTGCCCCCTCTCCATACTCTCTAAAAAATCAATGGAAAAATATCCTCGGATGAGGATTAACAATAAAAAAAAAAAAAAAGGAAAACAAAAGGATGTTGAGCCACATGATTCCTTGAGATGCAGGGTTCACACATTCCCACTCCCACCTGAGATGGAATGTCAAGAGGGTAGCAGCATGACCAAGTGCCGCAGAGTGGTTGGAGTGGATGAGGATAGAGAAAAGGTCACAGGAAATTGACTGTGATAGTAGTGTCAGATGACAGGGAATTAATGAGGAAATGGATTAGTGAAGAACTGTGAAGTGTAACAAGAAGAGTATGAAAATTGTAGTTGCTTTTCTCAGATGTCACATTTGCCCTTTACTACTTCCCCTTTGGGGCCTCTGGATTGGATTACACTTTATGCAGCACACATGTGACTGCGGAAGAGAGTCAGCCCTGGGAACTCCGAGAGCAGATGAGAGAAGTGAGAAGGGGAGCAGGGAAGAGCCCTCGGCACCACAGCTGTGGCACTGAGCCAGCTCCGGGGAAAAGGGGTTTTGGAGTAAGTTGGCTAGGACCTGTGCAGAGGCTCAGAGTAGGAGGCAAATACAGCCTAAGCTGGGAACGGGGAGCAGCTATTCCCAGCTGTAACAGAGAATGCAGGCTGGTGGTTCCAGAGAGCAGTGGGTGGTTATGGTAATCTGTGCACAGAGCCCTCCTCACCCCCGGATCTCTGAGGGACCTGGAGAGCTATATGTCCACTTTCATCCTTCCAGATGTGTCGACCAGAAGTTTCGGCGCTGCCCGCCACTGCCCACTACCAGCGTCATCATTGTGTTTCACAACGAGGCCTGGTCCACGCTGTTGCGAACAGTGTACAGTGTCCTGCACACCAGCCCTGCCATCCTGCTGAAGGAGATCATACTGGTGGATGATGCCAGCACTGAGGGTGAGGCCAGAGGTGGCCCTGAGGAGCGGGTATCCTGAGGAGGAGGGCAGGTTCTCTCAAAGGAGCAGGCACCCTCACTGCCGGCTGCCCGGCTTCACAGCTCATCCTAAGGGCCAAGAGCAGGGAGAAGGCACGTGAGGAACAGGAGGTAGGGGACAGCAGGCAGGGAGACCACATTCCTCGAGCCTGGACTTCATTCCCGCTTCACCCAAAGAGCTCCAAAAGCTTAGAAGTTTTTGCTTTTCAGACTCCCTTAGAGCTGCCAAGTCCAACCCAAGTCAGAAATGCTGGGCGCGGGCAGGGCAGAGGGTGGGGATGGGCCTTCCCTCTACCTCAAAGATTCCACCTCAAAAGCCCTCTGCTGTAGTTGGTAATAGGCAAGTGACGTTGCTCACCAAACTTCCACCCACACCTTTTAAAGTAACTCCACACACATCTGCAGAGTATTCTGTGTCTGACACTGAACTAGGCAAAGGGGATACCGTGACAAATAGCAAATGAGATGGATCTTGCCCTGAGAAAGCTAACAAACCTCATGGGTCTGATGGCCCCTTACACCACCAACCACGGCAGTGTGGCCTGTAACACACCCTTAATAGAAGTGAAAGGATGTGGACCTTAGAGGCCAACATCCAGGAATTCAAATCCCAATTGTGCCTCTTCCTAACTGTGACCTTGGGCAAGATATTTAACCTCTCTGAACCTCAGTTGCCTCTGCTAAAAATGAAGACACTTGGCTCCCTCACAGGGTGAACGAGGGATCAGAGATCGGTGCTAAATGAGATAATTCATATGACAGAGTAGTTAGATGGAGTAAGGTGCTCCATTGATTTCAGTTTAGTCTTTGTGTGGGAACAATGCACTCTGGGAGTATGTAGTCAGGAGATGTTATTTCTGCGTGGCATGGCTGGGGCCGTCCACAGTGGAGGCCAGATTGGAGCCTTAAAGCATGAGTGTCTAGGGAAAGAAGAGGCATTGAAAGGCATTCCCAGAAGAGAAAATGGCATACACATAGTCCTAGAGGCATAGGTGTATTTGTGAAACATTGAGAGATTTGATGTGGCTGAAACTTGGGTTTGTTTTAGGAAATGACACTAAAACGATGTTGAATTGAAATTTGTGCCAAGATGAAAGTATTTAGAAAAATAATTAGGAGTCATTGAAGGTGTTTAAGGTGGACAGTGACCTTGTCTCAGAAGGATGGCAGTTTGGGGGAGGGTAATTGTCAGCAAGAGAGGCAGAGGACCCCAAGCCAGGAGAGGAAATTCTTACAACCACCTGAGAGCTGATGATAGGGCCAGACCTTGGAAAGGGGCTGAGGAACGGATACATCATTAGGCTGGGCGTCTCCAGGAGCTGAGCCCTCCTCCTGGGTGGCACATGGTGTCTAAGGCTCTCAGGTTGGCCTCCTGTGCCCATGCTCCTATATCGAGTGCAGAAACGGACACCACACTTCCCAGAGTATCCTGGGGCCACTCGGTAGAGCTGTGGCTCCTCCTGACCACTCCAGCCTCCCGCCTGCCTTCTAGATTAGAGGTGATGCTAAAACGTGGAATAAGGCGGGGGAAGGCAGTGGGAGGAGAAGCTGAAGTGAGTACTGGTAAGTCCATTTCTTTGGAGGACAGACACCTAGCAGCACTTACAAAGCAAAGGCAGCCCTAGCCTGTTTGGCTCAGTGGATAGAGCATCAGCCTGTGGACTGAAGGGTCCCAGGTTCAATTCCAGTCAAGGGCTCATGCCTGAGTGGCAGGCTTGATCACCAGTAAGGGGTGTGCAGGAGGCAGCCAATCAGTGATTCTCTCTCATCACTGATGTTTCTATCTCTCTTTCCCTTTCCTTTCCTCTCTGAAATCAATAAAAAATATTTTTTTAAAAAAGCAAAGGCAAGCAAGTATCAGGGATGCAGTGAGAGAGTCTGGTGGGCAAGAAGTATCAGATTAGGCTTCTGGAAAAGGAGGGGCAAAGAGTTTGGCAGAGATGGGATTGGCCCCTTAGTAGCCATAGAATGGCTGTATGGAATGGGGAGCGAGTGTATCAATCCAGCTGCCCTTCCTCTCAAACTGGGCTCTCTGGTAACCCTTCTCCCCCAGACGTATGCTAGCCATCCCTCAGATGCTTCTTCCCTTGACTCACAGAGGGTGGAAGTTCTAAACTGTACTTGTCACCCAGAATCTTTTTAGTCCATAAGGTACAAGTGCCCACTTGGGCAACTCTTCTGACCAGGCTAGAAAAGTGACAATGCCAGGCTGGCACAGGCAGCATTTAAAGGGCACAGTAGCCTGTGCCTAGTAGGGTGGACTTTACAATGGCCACTATAGCCCCTCCAAAGTGCCTGCCCCTAGGGGGCATTCTCTCTGGTTGTCTCCTGAACTCTCTCTTAGGGCCAATGCCAGCATCTGAGAATCATCTGCCTGAAAATCCTAAACGCGTCATTCTTAGCTTTCTGGGTCCTGGCTCCTTTGAGAATCTGTAAAAAGCTTTACCCCACTCTCTAGAATAGTGCAGAATTGCTACAACACTGTGCACACACCCACAGTTCTGCATGTAATTCCAGGGAGTTTGTGGACCCTAGGAAAAATAACCCCACCGTGAGGGCTTTCGGACTCTTGAGATGCTCTCAGAAATGTTCAGCTGAGTGGGCAGGGGGGTGGGAGGGAGAGGACAAACTTGGATCCATGGTCAGAAGTCTCTGCTGTCCACAGCAGGATAAAATTTTCCACACATTTGACCATTTGATCAGATTAACTGGCTCTCATTACACACACACAGAGAAGAGCTGTGTCTCTGCTGAAATACAATGTCCATGCTCTCTGTCCTCCTATCCTGGTTCTTGGCAGTGCTCTGTGACCACAAGTACGCAAGACGTTTGATGCTGGAGCAGGGGAAGGAGGCCCGGTGGCAGGCTGGGGAACTTTTTCTTACCTACCTCAGAGTCTGAACCCTGGGCACAGATTTTATTCTTGTGTGGCCAGGTCAGATGCCAGACGTACACCTGGTCTGGCACACTCTACAGGCTTATGAAAACTGGCCCCTCGGGCTCATCAGTCTGTTGTGCCCCACACAGGTCATTCCCATGTCAAAGCCCTGCCCTGCCCCTGGGGAAGACTGAGCCTAAGCCTCCCTCCTGCGGGAATTTGCTAGATGGATGGGAGGAAATCAGACACATACCCAGGACGTGGAGAGTTGGGAAGTGAACAGCCCCTCAGTGAGTCAGTTCCTCATGGAGAGGGGAGGAGCACGGAGGTTGGGTTGGCCAGGAAGGGCCGCTGTAGGAAGGGAAGGTAGAGGGATCAGCAGGTGAAGGAAAAGAAAGAAGGGGCAGCCCTGAAGTCTGGAAATGCACTGTGTGAAACTCGGGGGAGGAGACACTTGGGGAGCACTTTGGGTTAGCTGAGTATTTTATTGTTTGTATAAACTGGATTTGTTTATTCATTCATTCATCTATCCATGGACATTGGGGTTATTTCCACATTTGGGCTATTGTGAATAATGCTGCCATCAACATCAGTGTACAAATATTTGTTTGAATCCCTGCTTTCACTTCTTTTGGGTATATACCCAGAAGTGGAATTGCTCGACCATGTGGTAATTGTATGTTTAATTTTTTGAGGAGCCACCATTACTGTTTGGATTTGGATTTTTTTCTTGTTGTTTTTTGTTTGTTTGTTTTTTAAAATCCTCACCTGAGGATATGTTTTTCTTTATTTTAGAGAGAGAGAAACACCGATTGGTTGCCTCCTGTACATATGCCCCTGGGGATCAACCCCACAACCTTTTGGTGTACAAAGGACACACCAAGCAACTGATCCACCCAGCCAGGACTGGATTTTGTTTTTAAGTGCAATTTCAAACCACTGTACTGACATGATCTGATTTAGTTTTGTAAGAAAACTGATGTCCACTGTGGCTGCTATGTCAAGAATAGATTGTGAAGAATAGAGGCCAGGAAACCAGTTAAGATATTATTGCTGCTGCCCGGCATGGCTCAGTGGTTGAGCATCGACCTATGAATCAAGAGGTCACGGTTCAATTCCCAGTCAGGGCACATGCCCGGGTTGTGGGCTCGATCACCAGTGGGGGACATGCAAGAGGCAGCCAGTGATTATCTCTCATCATTGATGTTTCTATCTCCCTTCTCCTTTCCTCTTTGAAATCAATTTTAAAAATATATTTTTAAAAAGACATTATTCCTGAGGTGACAGTGAGGACCAAGAGAAAGAACTGGCAGTACTTGCTGATGGACTCATTGTCAAGGATGAGGAAAGGGTAGAATCCAGCACAACGCCTAGGTTAGAGCAGCTGAAGGGATGCAGGTACCGTATACTGACAAGGGGGAGCCTGGGGTGCAGCTTGGGAGGAAATCTGGAGTTCCATTCTGGGCGTGTTTGGTTTGTGGTTCTGTTATACATCCATGTGAAGATGGCAAAGCCAGGAAAGAAGACTTAGGAGCCATCTGCATATTGATGAGACTGAATAAGGCATGTGTGCCGGAGGTCACAGGAGTCTTACAGCCTCTGTCATGAGTCATGAAGCTGGGTTGGGGTGGTGGGGTATTCAACTTAAATTAGGAGGCCATTGTCTAGGGGGCATAAGAAAGTATGGATAGGCTTGTCTGTGTCTCCATGCTCCGGAGCACATGTCCAGTGGGCCCAGGGGTGTGACCGAAAGACTGTCAGGGGTTGTCTCACTCATGCTCAGAATCCACAGGTCCAGTCCAGCCACCTGAGCCCCGAGGGAAGGTATGGGAGAAAGGCCTTGTAGAGCTCAGGCCCCCTGAGGTTCACAGCTCAGTGCTTTGCAGTTTCTTACCACAAAACCCACTTCCTGTGATGTTCTGTCCCTGAGTTATCTCCATCACCATGAATTTCCTGTGAGAAGGCGAGGCTCTTGGTTGGGGTTCCTCCCTGCTTCCTGTTAGAACCAGCCGTTGGGGCTGTAGTTGGATTATGAGTCTGGGAGATCCATGAAGGCAGGACCCAGACCAGGCCCCTCCCTGACCAGGGTAGTGTCAGGCACCTAGGAAGTGAATTAGCAGATGTTTACTAAGTGAATGCTGGGCCAGAGCTGCCAAATGAGGCTAATTTTGACTCATAAACATTGGGGATGATACTCCCTATTTCATAGTGTTTTAATCTTCATAGAGAATATTAATTAAGAAAGTCAACATAAAAGCACCTAGTTCAGCCTGGCTGGCGTGACTCAGTGGTTGAGCATCAACCTATGAACCAGGAGGTCAGGGTTTGATTCCTGGTCAGGGCACATGCCCGGGTTGCAGGCTTAATCCCCAGTGTGGGGTGTGCACCAGTCAATGATTCTCTTTCATCATTGATGTTTCTATCTTTGCTTTCCTCTCTGAAATCAATTTTTTTTAAAAAGCACATAGTAGGTACAAGTATTTGGACGCTGTGTGAGCAAGGTCTGAGCACTGGGCTGATCCCACAGCTTGAAAGAGAAAGGACACAATCATCGCTTACACCTTCCCCTCCACTTCCACTTCTGAAACTCCATTGCACAATCAGGAACAGAACAAGAGCATGGGAAACCAAAATCACAGTTAGTAAAACATAAGTAAGATTTGGAATATGTTTCAAGATGGATTGCTTCAGAGTAAAGCTATTTTTAATGCTCTGAGGATTCCAGACTGAATAACAGGATTATGAAGTAAGCCTCCACTCAGAAAAAAATGAAAGATCTAAGCAGAGATACCCCTCCCTTCAAAAAGCTTTCCTCATCCCCAAATTCAGGATGGTTGCCCTCCCTCTCCCCTCCCCTTTCCCCTGCAGGCTCTCAACCCTGTACTTCCTCTGACAGGTTACTGATCACCCTATGTAGCTGGGCTCACCACTGTGCCTGACCAATGGCAGGCACTTGATGCATGTTTTTAATTTAATTAAAAAGAGGCTCTTCACCTTCTCATTTCCTAAAATATGCCACATGCAAAGCAGGTAATAAAGGAGATTAGAGTAAGTAAGACTTCTTGCTGCTGGTCCAGCAAGTAAGAAATCAACATCTGTATATTCTACCTGGCAAACTTATTCTGAGGAGCCTGGAAGACAGGGAAGCCGACACTGAAAACTGTCACAGTCACTAGGGGTAGAAACGAGAGGAGGATGGAATTACGGCTCTGAAAGATGGCAGCTGAAAGGCTGCAGAGACCAAGAGGGGCATCTGAAGCCCTTGTCGGAAGTTTATACTTGATTTAGACCAAAGAAACACAACCCCGAGGTCCTGTCTCAGACATCAGAGGAGGTGCCTAGGTAAACGGGCACAGGACCGACACTGCAGAGCCAGTGTCCTGGCCAGGTGGGCTTGGGTGGCAGGCGGTGCTGGGCCACACACAGGACTTCCTCCTTCCACCCCCTTCCCCACCATCTGCTTCCATGGACTTGCTTAGTGCGGTAGGTGTGGGAGGATTTAAAAACTCGAGCCTGCTGGAGGCCCAAGAGCGCCAGCGCTGTGCCCGCAGGGGATTAGGTTTTCAACAAAGCGGTGAGCTGATTTCAACGACACTGTCCCTTCCAGAGTATTTAAAGGAGCAGCTGGAACAGTACGTGAAGCAGCTGCAGATCGTGCGGGTGGTGCGGCAGGAGAAGCGGAAGGGGTTGATCACTGCCCGACTGCTGGGAGCCAGCGTGGCACAGGCAGAGGTGCTCACCTTCCTGGACGCCCACTGTGAGTAGAGTGCTGGCCTGGCACCCAGGAGGCCTGGGTGTAGTCTGGCCCATCCCCTACCCCTCCATGGCAGAATGAGGAGCTGTGACCACAGCATCAACAGGCCCCTTCCTGCTCTGTTCTAGGAGTGAAGGAGGCTTGGGACTCTCTCCAGCTTCTTCTAGTCCTTTCTCACCCAAATCCCAAGGGTGTTTTATCAAGAGACACACACAACCCTAAAACAGTTGGTCACCCCACAATTGCTGGGAGTATGCTCCGGAGCCCCAGGCATTCCTCTCTCCCCAGATCTGTACCTCGTTCTGAACTCAACCCCTCAGAGAGGCCTCCTGTTACCACTGGGGACTGATCTGTGTGGAGCTTTCCTGTAGGGCCACCTGGAGCCAGGAAAGCCTCCCTCTCACCCCAAACCAAAACACCTCCCACCATTCGCAGGAAAAATAACTCCTAAAAGCAGTGATATATATTGGGGAAAGCCTAGAAAGCCAGAGGACCGGGTTTGCATTCTAGCAAAGCCTCAGGTTCCTCATTTGTAAGATGGGAAGAGGATACCAACCTTACTCACCAACAGAATTATTACTCAGAGGGCCAAATAACGTAATATACATAGTTCACTGAAAATCTCAAAGGGCTAGACAAATGAAAGAGATTGTTATTCTACAACTGGAGCTGCAGCTTGAGATGCAGATATTCCCAGTAGAGGGGACACCTGCTTCTGCAATCCACGCTTGGGGAGGGAGGGCTGATTCAGTGGGTAGGCTGGGAATCTGAAGACACCCATCCAGGGCCTTTCCTGTGCTTTGGGATCAGTTGAGTCCATGTTAGTCCCGAGACCTCCACTCTCCCCTCCAAAGCTGCCTGCATCGTTAGGTTGGGGGAGGGGAGAGGAGGAGGTTCTCAGATCTCTCTCTGTTCTGAACAGCTGTGAGCGAGCTTGCCTGTGTTTCTCAGCCTATAGCTAGGAAGTGGATGGAGAATTCTCTTGTCCTCCTGGGTCTCCCCCTGGCCTGGGGCATGGGCTCAGCTTCGATCAGGACCCTGACAGTTGTCTCCGGGTCTGGGCTTGCAGGTGAGTGCTTCCATGGCTGGCTGGAGCCCCTCCTGGCTCGCATCACCGAGGATGAGACGGCGGTGGTGAGCCCAGACATCGTCACTATTGACCTTAACACTTTTGAGTTCTCCAAGCCCGTTCAGAAGGGCAGAGTCCATAGCCGTGGCAACTTTGACTGGAGCCTGACCTTCGGCTGGGAGACTGTACCTCCACATGAAAAGCAGAGGCGCAAGGACGAGACTTACCCAATCAAGTAAGGACCACAGCCTGGTGAGCCCCCAACCCGGCCTACATGGTCCCAGACTCACCCAGTCCTAGGGACCTGGGCCATCTCAGGTCAACATTTATTAGTGCTCTAGCAAGCACCTGACTTATTTTACCTAATTCTCATCCCCTATGATTAGGCTGTACAATAAGTGAGAACATTGAGTTTCTTAGAGATAAACAGTTGGCCTCAGATTACACAGCTAACAAAAGGTGGAACAGGGATACCCATCCTGGCCTGTCTGACCCAGGCCTACGCTCCTAACCATGGCACTAGACTGCTCTTATCTGCCACTTACTGTGTGCCTGGCACTGGACTAAGGGCTCTACACACTTTGTGTCATCTATTCCTCCCTATTTGTAGGAGACCATGACTGGTGTTTGCAGAGGTGCGGAGAGATAGTGGGTAGTGGCCATTGTTGAATAGCCATTGTATTAAGAGTGGGTGGCATGCGCTCCCAGGTCATTCTCTTTGAAAAGACTGGAAACGTAGTAAAAGAATAGTGCAAGTGTTCTGCAGTTTGCAGTTTGTTGCAGTTGCCCTGAACTTTTTGGTAAAGAGCCAAATAGTAAATATTTCAGGTTTGTCAGTTACATATAGTCTGTTGCATAATATTCCTTGTTTGTGTTTCTTTTTAAACAATCCTTTAAAAATGTAAAAACCATCCTTATATAAACCCAGAGCCTTATATAAAGCCAGGCCAGGTTTGGTCCCCAGGCCATAGTTTGCCAACCCCTGAGCTATAGGATGGATGCATGAAAGTTTACCCATTACCTTCCCCTCATACCTCTACCCTGTCCTTCCCTCTCCAATTGCCTGTTGGTGTTGTTAGAGACCACAAGCTTATTTTATTTAACCCTCACCCAAGGATATATTTTTATTGACTTTTAGAGAGGCAGGGAGAGAGAGAAAGAGAAACATCGATTAGTTGCCTCCTGTGCATGCCCTGACCAAGGATCAAACCCACAACCTAGGTATGTGCCCTGACCGGGAATCGAACCCGCAACCTTTTGGAGTAGGGACGATGCTCCAACTGACTGAGCCACCCAACCAGGGCAACCACAAGTTTATTTTAACAGATATTTCAGCCAAACTGAGTTGGGGAGTGGCTTTTAGAGTATCCTGTGATTATCTGCCATTGTTTTCCCATACTGGCCAGGAAACTCCAAGGTCAACTGAATATATATCTGGGATGGAGGGAAGCAGAGGTAGGAGATACAATAAGCAGAGATAAGAGGGAAGGCTTGAAAGGAAGAGAGTGTTGGAGTTCCTCCCCCTCCACATGCCCAAGTCCTAACACATGCTGCCCAGAATCTCAGTGGAGAGGGATCAGATGGGTGCCACAGGAAGTAATCCCATGGATTCTGAACAGCCAGCTTCTCTGTCTCCATTAGAAGGAGAAGCAGCAACAGAAAGAAGAGAGGGGAAAAGAAAAGGCAAGAGGGAGAAAAGAAATGAGAACTCCCTATTGACTGCTTCATAGATGTCTTTTGTTTGTTGTGTACAGCAACAAAGCCCTCCTCCCCCAAGCTGGGCGCCAGGCACACAGTGACACAGTCAGGGACAGGGCACCTGGCCACCACCCATCACTGATGTCCCTGGCTCCAGTGTCTAAGGACCATATAGCTGGAAGATAAAGCTCCAGTGTTGGAGGAATGAAATTGCTGCCTGGTGGTATGCATGGCTTGCCCTCAGCACTATGCATAGTACCCCACCAGGAGGCCTGCAGGCAGTACCCTTTACTCTGAAAGCTAACAGGAGGCTGAGAGGAGAGATAAGGGACCCAGAGGATCCTAAGAAGTAGGCCAGGAAACACAGGCTGTTGCCTGTAGCCTGTGGGTCTGCAGTGAGTTTCCCTGTGTAGGCTTTATCCTCAGAGGTCATTTGTCAGTGGCTTCTGGGTCAGAGACCTTTCAAAGCCAAGGGACAGGCCCAAGGCAGGAAGAACCTCAAGAAGAAGTAGGTTAAGCCCTGGCCAGGTAGCTCAGCTGGTTAGAGCATTGCCCCGATTCACCAAGGTTGTGTGTTCCCCGGTCAGAGCACATACAAGAAGCAACAAAGGAAGGAAGGAGAGAGGGAGGGAGTTCTAAAGTGCTAATCTGGAATCCCAGGACTCTCTGAACCTTTCTGGGCCTTACTTGGGCTGGCTTAGAACTCCTGGGTCAGAACCAGTGACAGAAAGCCTGCATGAGCATGAGGGTTTCCCAATTAAAATTTCTTCCAGAAAGCAGCTGCAGGAGCCAACTTCAGGGCAACAAGAGCAGCCACAAGGTTAACTCCAAGGTCAGGCTCTTGTGTAGTCACCTTAACAGATCAGTCCAATGAACACTGATTGAGCCCCTGCTGTGTGTGAAGCACCTTGATTGGTTCTGGGCTACATGAAGAAGCAACAGAAGGGGGCAGCAAAGCCACGTCCAAGAGAGCCTGGCCAGGCACAGCTACCAACACCTCCTGATTAAGTATCTGAGAGTCAACCCTAGTCTCCCCTAGCCCCTACCCCCACCTTCAACCCTTAGCCCAGTTCCCCTTCTGAGCCACTCGGTATCTATATTCTAGGAATGAGATGTTTTTGTTAATTTGTCTTCATATGGGTTGTGCCTCCCTGCTTTTGTCTGAAAGCCAGAATCTTTTTGTAACCTCCAAATGCTCCTTTCGGTGTAAGTTGAGCTTGATGTCATCTCATTTCCTATTCTGTTTCCAGGAGTTTCCTCTGTCCAGAGCAGCTGGCAGATTTTCCCAAAGCTAGTTGCTCATGCAGTATTAAGTACCAGGGCTGGACTCCTACTAAAACTGTGGCTTTCTAGTCCCTCAAGGTCCAGGGACTCTGAAAGACAATGGGGTCAGTTCAACTCATAATATTCATTCATTCATGGTTTGAATCCTATGTCCAAAAACAATTTCACATTGCTTCTAATAACCAACTATCTACTATGCTCCAGGAACTTAGCTGCCAAAAAGTAAACAAACAATGGTAGCTTTACCCTCTGCTACTAGACTGAGCTCTCAGTGAATAAGATCTGTCTTTCTTAACTAACATGTAGCACAGGTCCTGGTGGCTGGTTTAATACATCTTTGGTTGAATAGATGAATGGGTGCCTTTTAGAAGAGAGTAATGATAATTACATCTCTCCTTGACCTAGTTCCTAGAAGGTAAAGAGACATAATAAAAGCTCAATAAACATTTGCTAAACGAACTACTTAGTGGAAGAGGGGCTGTCTATCCCAGGAAAGGGGGTGGGAATAGGGTAGGAAGCATTAGCGGTGAGTCCCAGCTTTCCACTCCTCCCACTTCCTCCCCAGAAGATGCACATGCTTCTCCCTCTGTCTCTCCAGATCCCCGACGTTTGCTGGTGGCCTCTTCTCCATCTCCAAGTCCTACTTTGAGCACATCGGTACCTATGATAATCAGATGGAGATCTGGGGAGGGGAGAACGTGGAAATGTCCTTCCGGGTGAGAGTGAAGAGGGCTTCGAGGGGGGAACCACAACATCCCAGGGGACAGCCTGAGAACCTGTCTCTTAGGCAGCAGAAATATAACATCTGGAACTGAACTTAAAAGGTGGCTGTTTCCTGACATGACTCTGCTTTTCCTCCACTCCCCTCCCTGCCTCTGACAATAGGACTTTGGGAATCAGATTAGACAACTTGAAACAAATTACTGAGCAGAACTCCTCAGAAAGAAGGGATTACAGTGGTAATAGGCATTGGACGTCTACCGACATCTTTCATGGTGTCTGTAGAAAAGGATTAGACCCTGATCATAGTAGAGAACCCTGGAAAGGTTAGTAAGCAGTCACTATCTTATTTCTAGAAAAATCAGGTTCCCCTTTCCAGGTCAGAGGACATGTGCCCTGGTAGTCTTAGAGTTTTCCTGCCCTATGTTCAGAAAGCTCTTCATACCGTAGAAGATGGTGCCCAAATTTTGTTGGACCCCAAAACTCTGAGGGGTTCCAGGAATAAGGCAAATGAGGATTAGGTTAGGAACAAAGGATTGCCTCTTCGTGAAATCTATATAAATCCTCATGCCAGTGGAGAGGTAATTAGTAAGTAAATGAGCTCATTTGTGAAGTCACCTCTCACAGTGCCTGGCACATATTAAGCACATCTTTAATACCTGCTGTTATTATGTATTTCTGTTTCTGCTGTACTAAAATGAACAACATATCTCCTAATTTAAAACCTAAAAAGAGGAGATACAGGTGGGAAGGCTTAAACAGAAGGGTCACCAGCTCATTCCCCATAACTCCCAGAGTTCTGATTCTAGGTTCATCCATGAGCCTCTGACCTCTCTTCAGTCTCTGTCCTAGGGAACTAGTGTGCTACAGGTCCAGGTGACGACCACAGGCCACCTGGCATTGACTATCCTTGCACTGATGCTCTGATTTGCTCACAAGTCTATCTTGATTTGAGGAAGTTTGAGTTTCCAGTAATACCTGTGTGAGCTGATAAAATCACATTTTCAACTCAAAAAGCCAAAGTTAGCCAAACTGTCTTTTCTCTAAAATGGGTCCTGAGGGCCATTCAGACATGCAAATGTGCTTAAATCAGAGTGAACCGATATCAGAGAGCTAGGGATTGTGTGCGTGTGGTCATGGCCTAAGAAGAAGCCTAGTCATTGTCCTTTTTTCCAGGAGAGAAAGTAGCATTTCCTTGAGTTTCCTGGACCTGGGGTCTGGTGCTCTGGGAATGGAACAGAGCTGCTTGGGGGGAGATGGCCCCACCCAGCTCCTAAAAGCCCCATTTTGTATCCTCTTACGGCAGGTGTGGCAGTGTGGGGGCCAGCTGGAGATCATCCCCTGCTCTGTGGTAGGCCACGTGTTCCGTACCAAAAGCCCCCACACCTTTCCCAAGGGCACCAATGTCATTGCTCGCAACCAAGTGCGCCTGGCTGAAGTCTGGATGGATAGCTACAAGGAGATTTTCTACCGGAGAAATATGGAGGCAGCAAAGATGGCCCAAGAGGTGAGATGAAATGGTCCTCTGGGGAGGGCCTGGATGAAGAAGAGTACAGAATCCCAGACCCTGTCAAGAGCTTAATGATAGAGGCCCACCCATTTCTACCACCTTAGACCCTGTGAGCTAGCCCAGGGAAGCTAGAGAATGAGGAGAGGAGTCTTTGTTGTCCCTGCCAGAGAGCCCCAGTGTCTTTCAGGAGGGGAGAGCAAAGAGATTTGGAGAAAGAACCTCTTCCAGGAGGACTGGCTTTGCTCTGAGAGGCTCAGAATGGGTCTGGGAGGAAACTAACTGGGAAGTGACAGGAGATGAGGGAGTAAGGGGGATCCGGGTGGAGTTCCCAAAGCCAAGATGGGGTTTGGGATTGGATGTGAGGCTGGGTCCGTAGCTCCAACAGGTCCTGAGCAGGAGTGAGCCTGAGACCCATTCTGGGCAAAAGTGACCCCAAGAACTCTGGACTACTTCAAGCCAGGCAAGAAGGTCAAGGCTGGTGGTACTGATCCTTAGGGGTTTGTCTTGTTGACAGAAATCCTTTGGTGACATTTCGGAACGACTGCAGCTGAGGGAACAACTACACTGTCGTAACTTTTCCTGGTTCCTGCACAACATCTACCCAGAGTTGTTTATTCCTGACCTGAAGCCCACCTTCTATGGAGCGGTGAGTCCTGCGAACCAACTTGCCTGCCCATCATCACAGAACCCCCTAGAGAAGTTCAAGACCACTTTCCCCACAGACAGATGACAATCGAGAACTGAATTTTATTCTCCACACTTCTTTATCCAGAAGGAGGACTTTGGAGCTTCTAGAGATAGCTAAAATCCTTATGAGGAAAATAGCCTATAAGCAGTGACTTGCTCTCAAACGCTCACCTGCATCAGAATCATCAGGAAGGAGTGTTAAAACACAGATTGCTGGTTCAGTGGGACTGGGGTGGAGCCTGAAAATATGCATTTCTAACAAATTTGTGGGTGATGCTGATGGTCTGGGGAATCACACTTTGAGAGCCATTGCTCATGAGGAAATTCCCATGTGCTAAGGACTTCTCCACAGACCTAGCAGCCTAAGAGGTGGCCCAGCAGGCCCTGGCCCCGCCTCTGGGCTGTGCACCTCACTTTGCTGTTAACTTCAGGCATCTGGGTTAATGAGCAGAGGAGAAATCCAGTCATGCAAATTTATTCCAATTGGGCCTGACACCACAAACTAAAAATCTCCTGACTATGCTGTCCCGGTTTCCCTCTCTACTCCCCATTCTGCAGATAAAGAACCTTGGTATCAATCAGTGCCTGGATGTGGGTGAGAAGAACCACGGAGGGAAGCCCCTCATCATGTATGCCTGCCACGGCCTTGGTGGCAACCAGGTATATAGCCCAACCCTACTGGGGCAGGCCCAAGAGAAGCCTGTCTCTGAGCATCTCCTCTCGTAAGGGGTCCCCTTCCTCCACTCAAAATAGTCCTTTCCGAAGGATGAGGATGGGGGATATCCAGAGAGAGGAGGAGATCCCATCCCTGCCCTCAGAAAACTCCCAGTCTGAGGAAGAAAGCATGACAGAGACAGACAAGGTCTGAAGTCTGAATTAGGGACATACAGAGAGCACTGGGCATCAGTGCTGGGTGCTAGGAAGGGATGGGGGAGGGGAGGATTGGTCATCAGAGAAGGCTTGCTGGAGGATGCCAGCTGCTAAGTGATGTTTTAGGGTAAGCGTGGGAAATTTCTGAGCACTTTCCCTCACCTACATACAACTTCTATCTTCAGTGCCTCTTCAGCCCAGAAAAAACACTGTGATCCTACCACCCCAAAATGACCCCAAAACAACCACCTCCTGACATCTTAGTCACCTAGCATCCTGAAAACTTACTCCATACCCCACAATGGCCCAGCTCTTTCCTGAGGAATAACTAGTAACCTTCTTGGTCTGAGTTCCTCAATCTACCCTGAATGCCCAGCGTTTGGTAAGAAAGAAGTACTTGAACCATAATTGAAGCAAGGGAAGGGAGGCTTGGGACACTGAACAGACTGTCTATATGAAGACAGTCATTCTAAAACAATTCCCCGTACCACTGGCCTGCATGATGACTTTAGGTGGTACATTGGTGAACTTTTTTATTTTACTAGTAATCTTATTAACAAAAGAAGAACTAGAATATCAGACACATGACTTCACAGATAATGCTTAACATGAAGCGAGGTTAATATTTTAATTAAATAAAAAATATGAATAAACTATTATTCCAGTATAACCCAGATATGGTTAAAAATTCCTGAAGGTGACACTTGAATTACTAAAGTCTTGTTGCTCACTTACTTGCCTCCCCAAGAGGCCATCTGTGGTTGGCATCTTAGGGCAGATGGCTTGGGAAGGTGGTGGGCAAACTCTCTGCCTGTCTCTCAGACCTCCTCTTGTCTTGACTTCTAGTACTTTGAGTACACAACCCAGAGGGACCTTCGCCACAACATCGCAAAGCAGCTGTGTCTACACGCCAGTGCTGGCACTCTGGGCCTTAGGAGCTGTCACTTCACTGGCAAAAACAGCCAAGTCCCCAAGGACGAGGAATGGGAATTGACCCAGGTAAGTCGGCCCAGAAAGTTCAGCATCAAGAACCCAAGGCCACCACTGCCCCCCCCCCCCCCCCCCTTTTTTTTTTTTTTTTTTTGTCACTTCACTGGCAAAAACAGCCAAGTCCCCAAGGACGAGGAATGGGAATTGACCCAGGTAAGTCGGCCCAGAAAGTTCAGCATCAAGAACCCAAGGCCACCACTGCCCCCCCCCCACCCTCCTTATTTTCTGTATCTTATGCCTGAGATACCATGGAGTAGATCAGTACTAGAAAGTATGGAGGGTGAGGGCTTGGTCCCAGGCAGAGCTCCCAGGGCTTAAGTAATGTTTGGTGATGGCTGGTCTGGCTGATAGAAAGATAGGGTCAGGTGTGTCATGGCTCAAGTATTTTTTGACTGAACCTAAGTAGATGAAAGTGAAGAGTCTCTCATGGTTCCTGCCTGCCCTCCATGTGTCAGGCACAAAACTATGCACTCACATACATTCGTTTGATTAATATTTCAGAGGTTCTTCCCAAGAAGCTCAGCAAGTTTGTGGCTGGCCCAAGATTCATCGCTAGTAAATGGCAGGCCTGAGATTCAGACCCAAATAAGTCTGACTCGAAAGCACAGGCTCTTTCCATTAGACCACACTGCCTCGGGGTCTATAATGTAACTTCTACAGTACTGAGCACAAACTAGCTCACTCTGTTCTACCCCAGTCCTGTCCCTGGGTTAGGGAAAGAGGAGGCTAACCTTGGGGCTACAGGGAAGGGGAGAGTCTAAATATGATCCAGGGCAGAAAGTGGAGGTAGGCAGCAGCAGCCCAGGCCATCTGGAGGAGGCAGGCCCTAGCCTTTTTCAGTTAGCCCATGGTCCTTCCTCTATTCCAGCCATTCAGGCTAAAGCTTGGGGTGGGTGATTGACACAAGAGGAAACTCAGGAATGCATCCCCTAAGAGTGTCTGGCATATTGCCAGACCTTTAACAGTGCTATTTATTGCCCCCTAATAGCACTGTTACAGGACTGAGGCCCAGGTTGACCCTTTGCTATGTCATCTTTTAGGATCACCTCATCAGGAACTCAGGATCTGGTACCTGCCTGACGTCTGAGGACAAAAAGCCAGCCATGGCCTCCTGCAATCCCAGTGACCCCCACCAGCACTGGCTCTTCATCTAGGCCCCAGATCATCACCTGTGGAAGTTCCCACAAGCCTCTCAGGAAACAGTATTTTGGGGAACCTGATGTTTGGGAACCTGAGCATCAGCTTCTCTGTAGGCCTTAAAAGATGGAGTTTAAACCTAATTTTGGATGTCAAGGCAGGACCTTCCTACTCCTTGCAACAACATTGGGCCCATTTTCTTTTCTCCACATTGATGGAAGAGACTGTAAGAGCACATAGTACTTGACCCAGAGCTTTCCTCTGTCCTAGAAACAGAGACTTCCAAAGCAGAGAAAGCTCCTGGGATAGGGCCCAAGGCAGCAATGCTGAATTCAAGAAAAGTACCTCTGCATCCATGTCCTGACTACCTGATCATCTAGAGCTGGGCATACAGAATCTAGTGACATAATATATTCTAGCAGAGATCCCTCTGTTAGCGGTCTAAGAGCAATTCCCTTGCTAATAGTATGCCGAGTTTATAGAGCCGTTTACGGTTTACAGAAAACACCCTGACAGGAATCCTTTATTTACTTCATCTGCACAATGACTCTGTAAGAAAGACAGGACAGGGACTGGCATGCCCATTTTACAGATAAGAAAGCTGAGGCAGGGAAGGGTAAAGGAGGTTGTCTGTAGTCCCACAGCTAGTGGATGGCGGGAGCCAAGACTGAAGCTTGATCTTGAATACTGAACCAGGGCGCCTTCACCACAAAAACACTAAACAACTAGCCACCGCCATTCCCATTCTCTCTTCCCTGCATTCTGATAATTTCTGGCTGGCTGATCTCTATAAAGCTCAGAACAATGCAGCCAGGTAGCCATGAGGGAAACCACACAGTTCATGGAGCCAGTGATTCTCAGGTTTAAGTCCCAGAACCCTTTTTTTTTTCTTTTCAGTGCCCATATGTAATGTAATAAAAGGCAAAGTAGCCATGGATGAAATTGAGGATAGACAGGGGCAATGTCCACTAGCCCCTGAACTTCTAAAATTCTGTAAGACAATTTGAAAACCATCATTTTAGTCCAACCTTATCATTTTCCTATTACGATACCGAGGGCAAATAAGTGAGGTAATTTGCCCAAGGCCACACAGCAAGGCACTGGCAACCCTGAAGCTAGGACCCAGATAAGGCTAACAAGAGCCGTAGGAAGGCTGAAGAATTAAGGACAGTGTACAGTCAAACATGACTGCATGAGTGGCCTGGTCTGCTGAAGCCCTCATGTGGAGCAGACCTGGCATGCATATCAGCTCTTTCCTAAGTCGGACCCTACACACTTGGACTCAGAATTCCTTATGACTTTCAGTAGCAGGTTGTCATCTTAGGCATCACCACGTGAGGGTGCCAAGGGACCACAGCTGCCTCTCCTTCCCTGCAACTCAGTACTGCAGGTCTCCTAGGTCCCTGAAGAGCCTTCAGGATCCTGTGGACGCTACAGTGTAGAGGAAACATTCCGGGATAGCCCAGCCAAAGGGAGAAGGCAGAGCATAGCCTCTCCCATGATGTGGCCTGAGTGGGAAAGGTCTTTTCTAGAAAGAGAAGAGAATTGGACATGAGATCCCTGTAGAAATAAAGGTTTTGTGGCTTTGGTAAAGGAAGTTTGCATTGGATTCCTCCTCTCCCTGCATGGTTCCTTCGCTGATCCCTTTGAAGAATCTATTGATTCAGGCTGTGAAGAACTACACACATCTGAAAAGTCCATCACAGCAACTTGCTCTTGTTCCCAAACATAACATCCTCTGGCCTATGTACTGTGTGTCAAGCATAAGTAGACATGAGGAGTTATAAGATGAGGCTCTTCCCCTGTGGAACTCACACTCTAGCTGAAGAAACAGAGATGCAAGCAAGTCATGGAGTGTTCAGATATGTGCAGGGTGAGTTAGAACAATTCCTTCTATTTAGGCCCTAAATTTTAGGGGGATCAGGGAGGGCCTCACAGAGATGGTGACATTTGACTTTAGACCTCAAAGGATGAGTCCTCAGGTGGGAAGGACTTAATAAACAAAGACCTCATACAAGAAATGATCTACATGAGAAGAGATACAGAGGGACAAAGGCACAAGTGGATCTGGGAAACCAAGAGGACATCAGGGTGAGGGAGCAGTAGATGTAGAAGCTAGAAGATCAGGGCCACATAACTTTCATGGGCACTTTTGCCTTCATAAAAAGATATGTAAAATTATGTTTTATAACTGCTTAGGTATAAAAATGAATATAACCCAGGCTGATGGTATTCATTTTATTATGGTTTTAAAAGAAAAACAGCCCAGCCAGCCTGGCTCAGTGGTTGAGCATCAACTTATGAACCAGGAAGTCATAGTTCGATTTCCAGTCAGGGCACATGCCTAGGTTGTGGGCTTGATCTCCATTAGGGGGCATGCAGGAGGCAGCCAATCAGTGATTCTCTCTCATCATTGATGTTTCTCTCTCCCTCTCCCTTCCTCTCTGAAATCAATAAAAATGTATTTTTTAATTTAATAAATTAAATTAAACATTTTTTGAACCCCTAAAAGTATTGTGGGCCTTGGGCACTGTGCCTGCTATGCCTACTGGGTAAGTCAGCCCTGTAGAACGGGGTTGGTTCGATTTCTCAGGGCACATGCCTAGGTTGTGGGCTTGATCTCCATTAGGGGGCATGCAGGAGGCAGCCAATCAGTGATTCTCTCTCATCATTGATGTTTCTCTCTCCCTCTCCCTTCCTCTCTGAAATCAATAAAAATGTATTTTTTAATTTAATAAATTAAATTAAACATTTTTTGAACCCCTAAAAGTATTGTGGGCCTTGGGCACTGTGCCTGCTATGCCTACTGGGTAAGTCAGCCCTGTAGAACGGGGTTGGGGCCCAATTGAGAAGGCTTTGGATGTCATGCTAATAAGTCAGGTAAGCCATAGGGAGCCATGGTCCCTAACTCTAGCCCTACTCCGGTTGCATTAAACATCTAATCATTTATCAGGCCTTATTTGCCACTTATCCCAAAATCCCTCATACAGTCTATAACATCACCTAACAGCTCTCCAGCCCAATCTTATGATATATGCTCAACCAAGGTGCCCTAAGGTGATTCCTCGTCCCTACCCAAAAACAGCATAGCCTCTCCCAGGGGCAATCATAAGAATAACAGGAAGTGAGAGATGCAGCACAAGAGAGAAAAGACCACATGACATACCTATAGAGTAGGCCCAGGTTTGGGGGTGAGGAGGGGACTAGGGAAGGGCGGTAGTCAAGAGGGAGAGAGCACCGACATGGGTGGTAGAAAGGCTCAAGAAACCAGCTTCATTGCCTCTCTTTAGCCAAGGTGGGTCTTGCCCTAACCTGATACCTGCCTTCTTCCTTAAAGTCCACCCCTTTAACCACTCTCAGAGCTTACCTAAAACCTTAAAAGCTTGCTGCCAGCCCTGTGCCTCTTACCTTAGCATTGAATGGCTGGTCCCCTTTGGGGATTTATTTCCCACTTGAAAAGTAATGGTGCCATTGCCAAGAAGAGCTAAGTGTCCCAGAATTTATTATCTACTTATATATTAATTACAAACTAATTCAGTACAAAAGTCAAATAATACAGAAAATGTGAGTTTAAAAAGTGAAATTTATCCTAACAATGCTCTTATACCTAGTAATTCATTCTCTAGATATAATAACTTTATTGCTTGGTAAAAACCCTTTAAAACTGCTTTTTTGTAAATCTACAAATGCACATATACACAGTACCATATTGTTTGCAACTTGATTTCTTTACTATATGAACGACATTTTTTCATGTCAGTTTATTTAAGTCTAATTCATTCTATTTTTTAACTTATTTTTCCAAATTATAAGAGAAAGTTTATTAAGATTCCTTGCAAAATTTCCATCAAAGCAGATTTGAAAGAGCCTATGTGATCAATTTGATCAATTACTATTCTTGTATGTGCAAACAATCAGGCCAAACTAAAACTGGACTTAATGCAGTCTCTTTGAAAGTGAGGGTAATCCTAGAAAAATTGTGTTTCAATGGGAACCACCATGTCCAATTGTGAATATTGAACTCCAGTGTAGTTAACTGTCTTCAAAGTTTTGCTTTTCAGATTGTGTCTGTGTATGCCATACAGTGTTTCTGGAAACTTTGGAGGTGGTTGTGGAGGTAGTTTTGGTGGGAATGACAATGTTGGTTGTGGAGAAAACTTCAGTGATCGAGGTGGCTTTGGTGGCAGCTGTGGTGGTGGTGGATATGGCGGCAGTGGGGATGGCTCTAATGGATTTGGTAATGATGGAAACAATTTTGGAGGTGGTGAAAGCTACAATGATTTTGGCAATTACAACAATCAATCTTCAAATTCTGGACCTATGAAAGGAAGAAACTTTGGAGGTAGAAGGCCCCTATGATGGTGGAAGCCAATACTTTGCCAAACCACGAAACCAAGATGGCTATGATGGTTCCAGCAGCAGCAGTAGTTATGGCAGGGACAGAAGGTTTTAATTATTGCCAGGAAACAAAGCTTAGCAGAAGAGGAGAGCCAGAAAAGTAATAGGAAAGCTACAGGTTACAACAGATTTGTGAACTCAGCCAAGCACAGTAGTGACAGGGCCTAGCTGCTACAAGGAAGATATGTTTTAAACAATACTCATGTGAATGAGCAAAAATATTGAGGATTCCCTAGCCAGTTTGGCTCAGTGCATAGAGCCTCGGTCCGAGGACCGAAGGGTCCTGGGTTTGATTCAAGTCAAGGACACATACCTTGGTTGCAGGCTCAATCCCAGGGCCTTGTGCAGGAGGCAACCAATTGAAGTGTGTATCTCTCTCATATCGATGTTTCTCTCTCCGTCTCTCCCCCTCCCTTCCACTTTCTCTGAAAATCAATGGAAAAATATCCTCAGGTGAGGATTGACCCAAAAAAAAATAC